AAAATTCCAGTGTCCCCTATGCCTAAGGACTACTTTTAACAGATGTCACCTTGCCCTAGGGGTACACTTTAAAGAGCGTATGACTAAAGATAATATCTGTAGAGTCTCAGCAGTCTCAACTGCACAAAAGGCACGATAGGTATGACGTGGATTGATACCTTGAAAGGTTGCAATTAAGAGACACTGAGTGTGAACTTTCTTCCGTTCAAACATGTCTCTCTCTCACACATGGTGTGAGTGAATGAGTAATCTTTGGACAGAAAGGTACGGAAATGCTGCTCACCTTATTGATGTCATCGCACAACAGTTTTTCATATTTTGTCGGATTTTCTGTTCTGTCAAATGAAACAACATACAGTGTTCTACTCTCTCCTAATATTGATTGATCGATGAGAAATAGAAATTCACCCAGACGGAGGATCCATTGAATTGCAGTGAGGGGGAGAATGAAGAATCGGTTGAATCTGATTCACATCAGAGAGCAGGGGAGTACACATGAGTGGACTCAATTCCAGGAACAGTGACAATTGTAATATCTTTTGTATCAAGAACAAAAGCAGAAAACTGTTGTGAAATGTTAACATTTCGTTTGATCGTCTCATTCACTGACGTAAAACAAAGTAGCAAGTTTATAACATATTGGATTAGTAAATCCTAGTGAACGGACATGTATATTTAGACAGGGGCTATTAGAATTAAAAACAAGAGGTCAACTCCACGGCAAGTGAACTGATTGGATCAGTAACGTTTAGGATTATGTAATCGGATTAGCAACGCTTCACTTATTGTTTAACAATCCGATGGAGCTCATATGTGGAAAAAAATTATTGTGAACTTATTGCTGACAATTTCGCTTTACAGTTACGCAACAACGGTTTGAAGGAGGAAGCGGGATCAATTATGTGTTTGGTTGTTATGAGGTGTTTTGCGATTGACGACCATGGGTTACGTGTAGCCGCCTGATTACTGAGCATGGGTTGAGTCATCGACTTCACCAACCACTTTGGAATGTGTCCAGCCATCTGCTGGTCTAAGTGACTCGTTGGTTCTGTCTATGTATGCATGATTGCAACTGCAGGTGATCTACAGCTGGTATACAGGTGGTATACAGTGTGTGTGTGTGTGTGTGACAGAACTGGATTGCCAACCACTTACACGTTTGTCCAAATCGATTCCACGAGTAGATGCAATAAGTCGAAGTTGAACAGCTGCAAAATGTGCGGTTGAGGGCTGACTTTAACTTTTTGAGTGCATCGTTCAGAATAATAATAATATCTTTTCCCGAATCAGCCTTTCATTGACCTGTAATCAATCCATTTGCACTGTTTGACGACACCAGTCCACCTAATCCGTTCCTAGTCAACTCTCACAAAGTCAGAGAAAACACGTGGCACATGCTGTTTACCGAAAATCACACGGATAGTTTGTTTAGTTTTTACAGCCATAGAGTACGGAACACAAGAACAAACTAGATCGATTGAGAGAACAACAGAGAGGGAGAGAGCGAGCGCGAGAAAAGTCATCAATCCCGGGCTACACAGACAGAAGCAAGACCAGCTCAAAGCCCCTCTCCCTCCCGACCTATGTGACAACAGATCTGTACTGTTCAGCATTTTACAGCTCATTGTTTTTAATTTGTGCTTGATAAGCGGCTTTTGTCGAAGTATCATCGGTAAGTCAGTGTCACTGGATTGAGCACCGTGCGACCCTGACAAGAATTAGCGCAACTGAATTCGGTAGCACATATTTATTTGAATATGCTGTGCGAACTAGCGATGAAATTATGTGTTATAATTCAAAACTCTCATGCTCATATGGCTGACACCCCATTTTTCATGGTGTGT